CCAAGTATAGGACTACTCAATTGATGAGTCTTAGATTGTGAAAAACATTCAAATCATATCTTTTCACTGACCTTCATAATTTTGATTAATTACAAAAGATGAAGATTATCATATTGATGAATCTAGTCGAACGTGGTATAGGATGGAATGTGTGCGTGTGCATATCCCGGCCGTTTCTACCTTGATGTGGTGTTCAGTCTTGCCTGTTGTGATGAACCAACCGAGCTATACTGGCTGGAACAATTGTTCCTCAGGGTTCTACCCTGTCAGACAGATCGTTCAAACAGCGGCAAGACTAAGCAGCAAACCCAAGATCTGAGGGCGAAATCGTACTGCTGACTGTACAGAGGTGTGACGCCAGTAAAGTGTTTCCTTCAAACAACCAGCATAACGGCGATGCTGGGGTTAGAAAAGGTCGACCCTAAAAATGCACACCTTGCCTTATCCCACAGATATCCGTCTCCGACGGTAAGGTCTTAACAAGTACAGAGCTAACACGAAAATTACCCACAAAAAGGTCGTGTGTGACCGACCTTAAGCAGTTGTCCTTTTGGCACTACAGTCACTCTCACAGGTCACTATGACCACCTTTAATCCAATTTCTTTTTCTGGTACCTTCGGAACTCTTCCACAATGTGGGCAACTGGAAAGTGATAACCGCCCTTACACCTCTAATAGCAGTGTGTATATGGCCTTCTCTCATATAATTTTTACTGTTCACTAGACTGTACATTTCATAACTTATCTCAAACCTATGCTGATAACTTCTTTATAATGAAATTGACTTAAAGTCATTTAAAAATGTGATTTATATGATTAGCTCTTTTAAGAGATAAAAACAAAACAATTAAAAGTTATCACAGATTGAAATCATGAGTCAATTGAAGCTAGACCACCATTGAAAACCTGGAAGCACTGGACGGCCGTTTCGTCCTGGTATGGGACTCCTCAGCAGTGCGCATCCACGATCCCGCACCCCGCGAGATTCGAATATTCCAAATAGATTGATTTTTATTAGTTGTTTGAATTTTCCATTGATGTTTACTCCATATATGCGAAAGAGACTGGTCGATTACAGTTTTAAACATCAATGGAAAAATTCAAACAACTAATAAAAATCAATCTATTTGGAATATTCGAATCTCGCGGGGTGCGGGATCGTGGATACGCACTGCTGAGGAGTCCCATACTAGGACGAAACGGCAGTCCAGTGCTTCCAGGTTTTCCATGGTGGTCTAGCTTCAACTGACTCATGATTTCAATCTGTGAAAATTTCTAAAAATCTCCACAAACCCCTTCTGATAATTAAAAGTTAAACAGACAAAAAAATGATGATAAGTATTATACAAAATATGTTTCACTGATCTCTAATAAAACAATATTGATCATTTATTAAATAAAAATCAAATAAACCAATCATAGACACATTAGATAAGATGAAAATGAAAAGAGAAGAATCCATAGAGAAATATATATTCAGTAAAACCAGCCTGTTGTTTTGTTTGTTTCCTTTTTTCTAATCATAAATTGTAAAATCATTGAGAAAATTAGATATAAATTAGATTTATATGAGTTACAAACTGACATAATCTCTAATTGAATACTGTAAATTGAGTCATAGATTACGATTGGTATTAGAATCGTACATTTAAAGCAAAGTTGGTTCACTATCCTAGTTTTTTTTACTTAACGTCATCTTAGATGTCCTTTTGAGACATTATGCTCCTCTTATCTGGATTTTCATGTGTTGGGGATGTTAAATCCTCAGAACTCACTTGGTAAATGCTTTATTTTTGTAATTCTGTTTTAGAAATTTGAATTTTTTTGTTTTCGCGCTAAAAGCGCTCATTTTCACTTTCATATTTTATTTTCCACTTGGAAGGGACTTCAATGTTATTGGTTCGTTATCTCTTTTAGTATGCTCTTTTGTACCGTTTTTTTATGCTGTATATATACGCTTGATTTGCGCTTTTTTTAATGCTTCTGGCTGCTTGTGGAATATGTTTCTTTCTTACGAACTTGAACTGCTCTTTCTCTCTCTCTCTCTGGTTAGCTGAACTGGGATGCGTCAGAATAGCTGGCTTATCTGTCACTGTGTCACAGAGTCTGTGTTCCGTTCTCAGATAAGGTGAAATCTTAATCATGGTTTTTTTTTACCAGGACATTCACTTATTGACTTCCAATATCCAGACAATATAATTCTGTTTAGTGAAGACTATGACGAATTGAAGTCTTCTTATCATTTTGATTAACAGTTAAAACATGTTTGAAATGAGTTTTTCTCCCCCTGACTTCAGAATTTGTCCTTAGTTAACCTTTAAACTGATAGCTGAAGTGGTTGAAAGTTTCGACCACTTTACTTACATTTGTTAGCTTTGGTGCGTTAGTGCCTGACGAAATCTCAGCACATATTCAGAAAGCTCAGTTGGTTTTTGGATGGGTGAGACGTCCATTTGTTAACTGAAGTGTTCACTCTTTGTTACTCTATGTCTGTGAAACATGACTTATGAAAGCACAAGATAAGTGTAAACTTGGAACCTCTGATCGTAGGTGTCTTCTAAACACTGCTATCGTATCGTGAAACGACTGAGTGGTCAATGCTGAGATTAAGCATGCGATACTTAGCATAAATTTTTAGTTGATGAGATACTGTATCTTCATCGACTAGAGGTTGTTAGGATATATGCCTAATCACGGTCTACCTCAACAGGCGTTGTTTACTGGTGTAGGAGTACGTTGGAAGGGAACTAGGGGCTCTAAAACAAGATATCATTTTATGGAGTCATTGGATATTTGTGGGAGCTACGTTCGTTGATGCAGACTAACTGGTTAGGGTCCGCACAACTATTGTGACCAGAGGTCGACATTGCCTGGAACTAGTGATCACGTAGATGCACATACTCTTCCTCTAGATCTTCGATCCTAATGTTCATCTACACGTACTTTTCTTCTCGAACCATAATTTAGTGTATAATTGTGCTCACGGTCAGTGCTATTACTATTATTTCGTGTCGCTTGCTATTCATCTTGCTTATTTCATTTCGTTTTGTTGATTTGGCTTAGGCATATGTGCCGGGCTGAATGACAAAGGGCGCTGGATAGCCACCTTATCCTGGTTTTAAACTATTCAATAGTGCGTATTCATAAACACACTTAAAATCGAACCTACGACATATAGTTTAGCCAACACAAGGTCACATAGTCTCGGATCATTAGTTCGAACTTTGAACTGCAACCAATTTTTTGACATAGTATAATCTTCATTCATTGTTTTCGGTAAATAGCTCGCTCGTCTTTGACTTAATTAGCTCTACAAATTACTTCTTACTAGAACCTTGTAGAATTCATATCAAAAGTAGTCATTAGTGTAAATACGATTAACAATTGCTGTCTAACTATGGCCAGTTGGCGATGTAAACTATAAAGTCCATCAAACATTCTACGCCAATAAATATATGATTAGTGTTGAGAGTATTTATCCAAAAAATATACAAGGTCTCTGCAAAACAATCTCAAGTACAAATATTTCTTAAAAATAAGCGTTTAACATTTTCTGAATTCAGAAAAAATATCTACATTGTTTTTACATTATCATGGTGATTGGATATACAGTGGGAGTAAAACCCTCCAAAAAAATATGATCAAATATAGCAAATAATAGTTGATTCCTGTAAACAACCGGCATTCCTAAAACCAGTTTGAAAATAAACGGCTAACTGTCTAAATAAAAGAGAGTGAATAGAATTCTCATAACTATAGCTCTCTACAATCTCTTGATGAATATTCAAGTTGAAAATAATGGTAAGAAGTAGTGTTGGAAACGAACAGAACTTACGGACAAGCTGTATAGAAACTTTTTCAGACAAGGTAACCAGTGATATGTTGATACGATGATTAGGAAATAAAATTTAAGCTCAGTTACTAACAGATTTGTTTCGGTCGTTTTTATTCGTAAGAAAAACTAGAAAAAATGGGACAAACATTCTTTACTAACAAACGTTTTTGAGCATATTATTCCGATATCCAATTTTGGCTCGATAGAAATACATGGAAAAGATTATAACCCTATTAGTTAGATTTGCAATGGACTGTACACTCAAAAATATCTGCCAAGACTTTCTGCAGTTTAAAAGTTGCATTTTAATTCAGAAATAGACTTTGTAATATCGTCTTCCGATGAAGAGAAATTCAAAAGAACAAATGGTATTCATCCAAGTCAGCCAGCTACAACGTAGGACCAGGCACATATATGCATCGGTTCAAGGTTCCATATCGCATTCGCACAGCAAGATAAACACCGGATTCATAGTAGTTAATTCAATGACGATAATATTTAAAAGATAAGGATATAGTATAAGAAAGAATTAATACGTATGAATTCCATCCGGAATATTCATTACCATTATTTGACTTTGTCTAGTGTTTCCTCGAAATTCTGAGTTCCAGGAAGTGGTCTGTTTTGGAATCTCCTACCTAGATTCTAGTATGTAGATAAAATCAACGTTAATAAGACGTCACCTTATTTAAGATATTCTGTATATTGCACTTATCCAGTATGAAAGTCTATAGAGCGAAGGCACACTTGGCTAGCATGTTGCAATCTACGGTAGTGAACTTCGAAGAAAAGTTGAAAATGCTTCATACACTTGTCGACCTATTTGTACAAGACTAAAGAAGGCATTTTTTTAAAAACAATCGTCTACTTCATCATAACAAGAAATAAAGCTGTAGAGCTAATTACTGTCAGTTAAAATTGTGTAGATTTTCATTCTAAGGACGCGTTGAACTACTATGCTACTTATCAATATCAAGACATTAGATCTCGAACAAATCACTCCATACATATATCTGTTCCCTGTTCACTAACCTTTTGTCAGTTTAAAAAACTGTACACAATTATTTTATGGAAAACAGAAATAAGAATTAACAGGTCTGATTATCATATAACATTCTTATCACTATGCACTTTAGATTACTCACAAAGAAAACGTATCGAATGTAGATAAAGAATGAGTTATTATTTTTCGAATTAACTTGAAACACATGTACATTAAACAAATCTAAATTCTATGATACATTTATAATAGATATCAGTTGAAATAATTGAACAGCTTCTACGAGAAATTTTATTTAAGAGATCGTTATTATTAGTATTATATTAACCAATAAATTAGAAAACCAGGCTACCCTTGTTATAAAACAGAATGAAGACAAGGTTTATTACATTGATTTCTTGTTTCTCGTATACACAGAATGAAAAAAAAAACCAAGATAAGTGGTAATAACCTTTCAGAAACAAATTAACATACAAGAAACGGAAACAAACAAACAAGAAGAGTTGATATGCACAATTGATATCTAATAACACATGATATAAGAGACAAATTATAGAGATAAAGAAAACTTGGAAACAAAACGCTGATAATGGTGATAATATATGAATGTATATAAAATGATAATACTGTACGAAGTACCACAAATAAACGAATGAGAAAGAAGACAGAAATAAATATGAGAGTACATAAAGTATTAAATAGGGCAGGATAAGTTTCACACATTGGTATATTGAAGGTCAGAAAGAACACGGGGGCTATAAACAGCATATGTTGTCATCAAGTAAATTGCTTTTGCATACATACATATTTTATATATAAATATATTGTAGGTGATTAGTAGATTTATATTTCTGCAAACAGTAAGGTTACAGTAAAAGGATCGGACATACATACATATGTATTCTGGAATGATACGGTTGAAATATGAACTATAAAGATTGACTGGAAAACTAGAACAATGACGTAGAATGAGAGAAATTCCGGTTTGAAACCATGTATATATATTATTTGAGCGCTATTTGTTTTTTATTGTTGTCTACAGGCTTTTAACAATTGAGCACAATTACTCACTTAATACAAAAGGACTATTAAAAGGGTTTTAGACAGTGGAAAATACAGTTATCATTGATACTTTAACCATGTACCGGATGATTGCATTCGACGAATTTTGGATCTGACAGCTGTAGCTGTTCTTGTTTCTTTCAATCGTGAAGAAGCTATACGAGATCGAACTTCACTAAGAGAAGGCAGTGTACCGCATACACCATTAGGTTTAGGATTTCCATGGAAGAACTCTTTAAAAAGTCGGCTAATTAGTCTGGTCTCCCAATCTGCAAATAATCGACTACCTCCGATATCTTCTTGTCCACGTTTTCGGTTATTCTCATTGACATACTCAGGAATATTTCTAACGGAAGGAAAGACATTACAGGCTTCTTGACTAGGTCTCTGGGATGAAGAAAATTGATGATTATTGGATGTTTGTTGATTCGGACAATGATTCGGGAAGGTGTGATACCTAGGTTGGGGATCCGGAACAGCGTGTGTCTGATGCTGGTGCCGAAACTGACTTGTATGGGAAGGAAAGAATCGGACCATGGCTTGTTGTTCTTCGGGTGTAAATGGTAATCTAGTTAAGTAAGTTCGACCAGGAGGGGGAGTTAATTCACGATCATCGTCTATGTGAGAACGAACAGGAATGGGATAGGGTACATGAGACCGACCAGAGGCATCGCACACATTATTTAGATTCCAAGGAAGATGATTCACCCACCGTTGAATATGCATCATTCTCTCCTGACAAAAAATACAAGATTGGGCAAATGAAAAGAATGACATCCAAAACATATATTCTGATAACAAAGTGAAATACTCAATAGACAATGATCAGAAATATTAAAATGGTAAGGATATGAAGTCATTTATAGAGACTACGTGAAAAAGAAACATGTAGATATGATAACACAGTAAAGTAAGCCTGACACAACGTAACAAAACACAATCAACAGAAACAGTATGAAAACTTTGTATAAAGCTAGAAAATCCCGTCTAAGGTTAACACATTATTTTTGAGAAAAATGACTTATTTTTCAAAGCAAGACCAACATGTATCTGTGATACATACGAAGTAAGACGTTATAACAGAGGGTATATGGAATAATTACGACGATTGCCCTTGCAATCTGTCGAAATGTGCTGGTACGGTGAAGGGTTGGGAAATTCCGCTCTCCCTCTCGAAATACTCTCACATAACCACGCATATACAGCCACTGACAGGGAAGTCCTACTCATTGCTTTCTCGCAGCAGAGGCGTCGTTTGCGAAATTGAGAGGACGAAAAGCGAATGTTTGGAGCTCTAACCTGGTTGGTGGATATGGAGGTTCCACCTAAGGGAGTTGGAAAACCCTAATTCCAAAACAATGGTGCACATGAGTTCCAGGATCCTGACCTGAACAAAAGGTTGGATAAGAGAATTACGGGGTAGCAATCAGAGAATCGGATAAATGTTCTTGATTCATATAAACAGTTAAGCTTATAATAGATGTAAATAATAATCAAATGAATGAGGTGTAGTTCATATTGATAATGTTGATAATTCACTTAGTAATCCTAATTTGTCAATAAATTTCAGTTACAAACACATGACAATTGAAAACTATGAATACTGATTTCACACGGAGATCCCGGAAACTTGATAAATAAATGAACATGAACAAATAAAGATGGGATTTCTTTTCTAAGGATTTCACGATTATTATTAAACCATAAAGTGAAGTTTTTGGCATGATTATCTAGAAATATATCCGTAAATATCAGTTCTCGATAATCCAATGTATTAATATCTAACAGTTAACACGTAAACTGGTTAATCTAAAAAGATTAAAAAACCCATCGTCAACACGAGAGAGCAAATACACTCAGAAGCGATCGAGAGTATAATATTCAACTATGTATATTTTTAATAAGTTCACACACACCAGCTAAATAAGGGATGGAAAATGATAATAAAAACTATCTAAGTAGAAAAGTGTGTCGACGGTGATAAATTCCTACATTAATCTATACAACAAAAACCGCAAACTTTATTTCTAGTTGATAATGAAAACAAACTCACCGATTCTTTAGGTTTTGGTGGGAGATAAATAGTGCACTGATCGTTAGTATCCAATGGGATGTTAGCTGTTGTCGTAATAGGGGGGATAGTACAATTTGCTGACAGTGCAGAAGCATCACGTTTACATCCAGTTGCAATTGGACCAAGTGGTTCTGTGAAAACTGGTAGATCCATATCCTGGTTTCCATTTGAACGTGAGTGACGAGGCATAGTGACGATTACAGGTGAAATGATATTTGAACAGTGATCTCCAGAGCTCAATTGATGACGACTTTGAGTGTCAACACTTTGACAAGTTGGAAATAATGCAAAATGAGAGTGGGTTAGTGATTGTTTGGGACTCAGTACTCTTCTGATTGGTACAGACAATCCAAAAACTTGTGCGAAATGTTGGGTTTGAGCAGATTGAGTAGAGGAGGATGGACAATAATCACCAGTGACTGCAAACCATGGTAAAGTAGGATTTTGAACCAGCTATGGGAAGAAAATTTTAAAAAAACGATAGTACTACAAGGGTAGTTGTAAGGAGGCACGAAACCAAAAAATATATGTGAATATCCTGATTTGTGACTGTCCTTGGTCAACAAAATGTATATTAACACTGTTTTTTGCAATCAAATACAATACAACACAAGATAGTGAAGTAAACAGACATAATCATATAGTCACCTCTAGATTATGAACTACCAAAAAAGTGTCGGCAACCATGACATTTTTAGAAAGAGGAAGTTACAGTGATGTAAGTCACAAATGAAGTACTTGAGAATGAGGTGAAGCAGATAAACTTAGACTTCCCAATTGTAAATGACAAGAGCATTTAATACACCAAAATGAAAAACTTCTCAATTAAGGCTTTAATTTCAGTAAACTTGTTGAGTAATAGTTACTAACAAGTAACTGTACCAACCTTTATAGTTAGTCAGCCCAATCCCCAAGTCTTCTTAGTTCTACCTCCCCTCAATTTATCTAGAATAGCATGTTGATGTGGAACTAAAGACTGAAGATGATCTGTAAACCGATTTTTGACGCTAGCATCTCATATACGAACAGATGATAGTACATGTATATACATAGAAGTCATCGACAAACACAGACATCGGTACATGTTTACTTGTGTTATTGTCAATTATTTGTTAAATTTGCATCGTATTATTTTATATTACGAAAGTTTATTATACAAACGTTCGATGAACCTTAAAATAGACTTCAGTAAACTGCAGTTGGAAATATCCAGTTTATTGGGGTTACGATCACGAGCAAAGGAAAACAGTCGGATAAGTTAGGTTCCAGTAAGTTGTTTTAGGTAGTTTTCAGTTCACTGTAACAAATATATACATCACCAGCACAGCCAAAAGCAAATATTTGCTTTAATTTTGATGTGTAATACACAACAAACTTCTTATACTAGTAATAGAGGATAATAGAACCATTATTCTTAGGAAAACGAGAAATAGAATACGGAAGTAAAATGATCGACATAAAGAACAAGACAAAGAATAAATACATTTATTTCATTGAGACAAGCTTCAAATGAATTTACCTACCCCTTAACCGCGAAATATAGATAACTTGTACAATAGGGAGATCTATAAGTCCTCCATAGGCGGCTCACACTAGCAGTCAACAACCTTTAGTTTTTTATTTGTTCAAACACAAACACTGGTACAAGGAGTCACCAAATACATATGCGCCACATAAATCATTCGATTTGTGTGTGGGCCGTGATACTCTCCGGATGCCCAGACCGAAGCAGGTGGTTTTGTTAGGGGGCCACACTCTGAGTCTTTGACCTAAATGTCTAATCCACAAGGCAGTGGAGCAACGTTACGAAATGCGGTACCATGGTAGCCGGTGACTAACAATAGGTTCATACGCCTTTTGTTCAGGTCAGGATCCTGGAACTCATGTGCACCATTGTTTTGGAATTAGGGTTTTCCAACTCCCTTAGGTGGAACCTCCATATCCACCAACCAGGTTAGAGCTCCAAACATTCGCTTTTCGTCCTCTCAATTTCGCAAACGACGCCTCTGCTGCGAGAAAGCAATGAGTAGGACTTCCCTGTCAGTGGCTGTATACGTGTGGTTATGTGAGAGTATTTGAGGGAGAGCGGACTTTCCCGACTCTCGGCCGCATCAGGGTATTTCGACAGACTGCAAAGCCAGTTAAATGGTACGCTGCAGCTAAATCTGTAAAACCCATGTCTTATCCCAATAGTTGAATGATTCCCATTTACAGATCTAGTCCGAACATTGTTTACTGTGTTGCATACGGCGTTTCGGATATACTTATAATCGAATACTTGTGATTTATATATTTTATCCACTTCAATCTTTCATATTGGTAGGGTAAAAGATAGATCACTTCTGTGCAATAAACGTTTGGTTAGCGGGGAGATAACTTGTCCAAAATAAGAAAAACTAGTTAATTATGTGAAAGTTCCTACAAGCCCCAAATATTGGGAAACCAGGCATACTCAATATACCATAGCACTTGTAAATTACACGGAGATAGCACTAACAGCTGATTTGAAGAATAATCGACCCTGAGGAATCTGTGTGCTAGTGCAGGGACTATAAACAAGTTTGCATACTTGATGAACGTGGAAGTGTATAATATACCAACGACTTACTTATGAGTTGAAAATGCCAAAAAGGCAGTATGAATCAAATACAAAAGTAATACTTCCAGTGGAGACATCTTTAAAACAAAAGTTTTGGTCAACAAATAGAGGCCTAAATCCTAACTTGAATTCGAAACGAACCCATTATTTCACAACTGATGAAATACAAAGCTTCTTTGAAGTATAATAAAGTACTTCTTCAATACATTACACAGGAGAATGGGTAGATACATGAATCTGGACTTTAGTACTGAACCATTTTACATTTATTACTTGTCTAATTAAACGAACCCCTGAATACGATCTGAGGTAAAATAAAAATCATTCTTGTCATCTTGAAAATTAAAGTAACTGATGGGAGCATTTTGGAACTTATCACGAATATACTCAAACTGAGGAAGGAAATTAGCATTACAATACAAAAACTGGAGACGTAATCAAGAATCTAAATGTGAGAAAACACCAGTTTAGACTTCGAAACGAAAAATTTACAACCTTTTTGAGAACATTAAAGTCCTAATAACATAATAAAGATGAATCAGAAAACCAGTTTGGATAGAATTCTAAAGCTTTAATGGAGAAGAATGTATTTTTAAAGTTTCAGTGAGTGAATTTGAAGTAAGTTCAACACTTCGCCTGTCAACCTAGTTCAAACATCATCAAGGAATTATAATCAAACACCAAAATTACCATCAGTGTCTTATATCAACTCGGCGCCCTAATATAGCGAAACTATTCGATCAAATTAAGACGGAAGTTCTCATATAGTCCTAAAAGCTGTTAGTCTTCACAGGTAAGATCAACAGCTTTATTCATTATGCAAAGGACCCTAACAATCTAATTCGCTGTTACGTAGTACACTACGCCTTATTCTTAAACGCTTACATCTGGCGGTGATAGAGTTCAGTGATACAAACTAGTTGGGAAACAGTATGTGTAATACTGTAGAAAACGACTTTCCTTCCCTTCTAGAAAACCGATTCAATTTCCGAAAGTTTTACCAGCTTTACAGATTTTCACGATATTCCTTACTAGAACCACCGGAGATCGGGGTCATGTTTGGTTTCCATTACGAAAATAGTACAGTTTGTCATCAATTTTACGACCACCCTACTGTATACCTAACATCAAAAGACAAAATCTCACCATTACTATTGACAACCAGCGAAAGTTGAGGGCCCCATGACAGGAACATGGAAACAACCAACGCTGTTGAAAGAAATGATGTCCAGCATGAAGAACTCAGTAATGGACTGAGGTAGTCCTCATTTTAAAAATTGATGAGATTATGCCCTCTCGAGCACAGTGTAGTTAATACTTGCAAAAACTAAAGCTTTAATCCAATACACAGGGTCAAACAGCACGAAACAACAGGGAGCGTTGCTGATCGAATAGCTCAAACAAATCTGAGACATTCGGTCTTATAGCTAACATAATAGTTGTCAAAAGTTATGATAACCTTATGATAAAAATACACATCTGGAGTACCTAACTATTTCAGGGTTTAAAGTATCGTTCGAAACAGCTGGGTTTACGCGCTTTTTACAAAAGTTATAGAACGTAACGAATTCAACTTTTACTTAGCTAACTTTTTACTGCAATTATTAAGTTGTCTCAATCTCACATTCGTGCTTCTGCTTACTTTAGTTGGTTGCTGTCATTCTTAGCTTGGTTGGTTTTCTCCAGAGTTATATACTACACATATATGATAATAAACAAAACACTGAGGCCATTTCTGGTTACGCAATCAGCTTTTGTAAATGACGAAGACTAGTTTTTTAGAGACTGAGGGCCATAGTAGGAAATTACCAGATAAAAAACCTGTTCATTTTAGTGGAGAGGGCCTGGATACTGAAGTAGGGATGAACAACGTCGAATATCAACGCGTCATGGGGACGCATGGACTAGGACAAAGGAACTAAAATATCGAGAGACTGACGGATCTGCGTGATTTCACGAGCATGGTTATAGATGATACTGTTTTTCACCTAAAAACGCACACACAAAGCTACACGGGTTCCGTCTGACTACTGTAGTGACCTACTTTTATGCGATTGGTTTAATGGAAACAATTATTATTATAACCAGCTGTACCACGGATTGTTTTACCATACTTGTTTGTTTGACTGTACCAAAACACATACATTCTTCCTTCCATTGATTGTGACTGCATGAATTTGGTTACGCTCAGTAACCACACCTGTACTCCTTTGGCACTATCTCGGTATTCTTTCTATACCACAAGATCGCCAACAAATGAATCCCGACTACAGCCATCAACTGCCTTTTGATATTTGGCCTACAGGGGATCTTATCGGTTAACTGGCACGTAGTCTTCCTGTAGTGGTGATCATAGTCAACCGCGACACAAAGAACTGAAACGTCAACAGGCCAGAGGGCTCTTGGACCCAAGAAACACTAGAATAAAGGGTGAATCTCTGTAGACAATCTGTACAAGATTCAAGGAAGTGAAAACCAGACTACAAACGTCTCTGACAGCTGAACAACTGTAAAGGAAGACGAGGGTTAGACTGTAAATACAGAAGTAAGCAAATGAGGGACAATGGCATCGAAACAGATTATTTAAGAATTCTGAAGAGCGCTTCAACTGGCCAGAACCATTGGATTCATCAGGCATTGGAGCAGCATCTGAAGGCCCTTCCAGTGATAGCACCTCATAAAAATGCTCCACGTTCTCGTTGCAAATATTTAAGAGGAGCAAAAACTACTAACCAGCTAGAAGAGAGAACACTCTAAAAATATACCAAAGTAGATCTCGGAAACTGGAAGAAATTCTGCTAACAGTAACTGGAACAGTTTTCAACTGTGCTGTTGAACTGAACAAATCTCTAGTAGACACCCAACTTAGTGATCCGTAAAGATCAGTTGTGTGCCGACCAAATTGCTACATTACGGATCCTCATCAAAAAATCCATTGAATGGAACTCGTCATTACACATCAACATCCTTCACGATGTAAAAGCATTCGACAGCGTGTATAGGAAAACCCTGTGCAACTTCCTTCGACACTGTGGTGTACCTGGGACGATTGTCGTCATACGAAATTCATACGACGGACTACATTGCAAACTCGTGAATGGAGGACAGCTGATAGATGTATTCTAAGTGAAGACCAGTGTCGAACAAGGTTGTTTACTCTCACCTCTTCTTTTTCTTCTAGTGGTCGACTGAATTGTGAAAACAACCATATACCAGAGGAAGAACGATTAGCAGAGGGCTATAAAGATGCAACAGTGTAACTTTGACTTAGCATACGACTAAGCCCTGATATTGCATATGTAACAACAAATTAAGATGGGGATAATCTGAGTAACAGTGGCTCATGAGTCAGTAGGCTTTAACATTCCTATGTTAAAAAACAAGATTTGAAGTGCAACACAACAAGTAACAACAAAATCACACAATATGGAGAAGTTCTTGAAGAGATGGAAGGCTATAAATACCTGAGTAGCACCAGTGAAAAGCATAAAAAGGAGAAACGGGGGTTGTATTCTAACTATTAAAGAACTTTTGGAACTCAGAAGGACTATCAGGCAGCAGAAAAATAAAATTAAAAGAAAAACATCTGGAGTATATTTGCTAGGTAAGGTATTATAGAACTTTTATACTCTTGCTTGAGTGCATGGATTTTAATGTAATTACGTCTCGTTCTACCAGAAGATATACAAGGAGAAAGACAGGAGTGAAGTGGAAGGTTAGTATCTGATAAAATAACACCTGCCATGAGTTTGCATGACTTTAGATATCTATCCACAACCATATTAATTATGAACTCGAAAGATTCACCACACATCTTGCTAACTGCCTTCAGCACACTTCGCAATACAGCAAAGTCTTTTCTCAAAAGCCCGGGAAAGAATAATGGAGAACAGTAAAGAATAATAGGTAATATGTAAGAATTGACAAATTGTAAGAGTAAATGATGAGTAATCCCAAGAGCATGCAATCTCTTTATGTAGTGAGTCAGACGGAAAACCTTCTTCGATAACAATAAAACGTGAGAAGACCAAGAGAGATCAGAGGGAAAGGTAACACCAAGATAATTGACCTTCGACATTGTGTTTATCAAAGAGTCTCCGATGGCACAAGCATTATGGGATCTCAAAATGGTGTTTAGATGCCGTTCATGTCTCATGCTAAAGTTAACAGCTTGACATTTAGACGGATCAAGTATAGGACCATTACCAACAGACCAACAATCAATACGAGACAAAAACTCATTCATTCCTATGGGATGTAAGGAGGAAGAGATAGGCATACATACAGTGAGATCATCCGCATATTTTACAAGTGTTTTCTGTGGAAGATGACAGATCATGCAGAAAAAAAGAGAAAAGAAAAGGTGAAAGAACAGCTCCTTGTGGTACACCTTCATGAGACAGTAGAGACTCTGAACACATTCCTCTAAATACAGTGTACTGTTCTCTTCCAGAGAAGTAGGAGCATAGCCAGCTGGTTATCCAGCTGTCAGTTTTGATGCTGATTAACTTGTTAATTAAACGTTGTCTTGGTATAGAATCAAAAGCTGAAGTATAGTCCAGAAAAGCGAATCGAACATACGTCTTACCCTTTTCTAAGTTGAACACTATATTGTGATGCAGAACAGCAACAGCATCTAAGGTGCTTCTTTTGCATCTGTAAACAAACTGATATGGATCAATATCCTCTTGTATCACAGACTGAAGTGTAAGTATTAATAATTTTTTCATTGTTTTGAGGAAGGGTGAAGTTATTGCAATAGGTCTAAATTTCACATTCTTATCGCCAGATACTTTCTTGGGTACAGGGATTATCTTCATCTTTCTCCACATTTTCGCTATGAGATTAGATGAGAAGGATCTGTTAAAGATAGTCGTGAATGGATAACATAGGACGTCAGCACAGTTTTTCAAAAGGTTTGGGATACCGTCAGGTCCTAAACATTGGGATGAATTAAGTGATTGGAGATATCTTCGGACATCAGTTTCAGTGAAACTAGGAACACAGCTATTCTTTAAACCTGTGGATGAAGGGAGCATCACATCAGATGACTGACGTACAAAAGACTTATTTAAGTCACAAACATTCAGCTGGTTATCGCTCCTAATCTGTCTGTCACTTGTAAGTTCTTTAAAGAGTTTTCACATACTTGGAGAGTTTTTGCAAGACAAGAGTTTTTGAATAAACATACAGTTGAGACGTCTAATCTCTAGGTTTATCAGACCATTTAGCTTACGAACTTCATTAGAGTTTTTCCCCTTGTACATTTTTTTCTTTCATCCTCCGTAGTCGTTTTAGTTGTCAAGATGTAAGTTGATCAAAACTTACAGAAATGGTTTCAGTGGGGCAAAAAGTGTCGAAACAGAATTTAAGGTAACAAGTGATAACATCGGTAGTGATTTTCAGTAAGTCATCTGTAAATAATTTCCAGTTAGTCGTATGAAACATATTTTTCCGATTCCGTATATTTTCTTCTGGTTAATTCCTATATTTGACTTTCCTGGTTTGATGCAAGAGTGTACTCTTTCCATGCTTTCCATATACTTTAGGTAGAACACGAATTTTACAGTGATCCGAGCTAGACAATTGAGCACATATATACCCACATCATTAATGAAAACAAAGTCTAAATCAGCATCCAAACGAGTAGGAAAATCTACTACATTCTGGTGACCTAGTGACGTAAGGAAGCTATATTCACATGAATTGAAATCACCACATACAACTGAAAGTGAATCACTGAAAGCAGTAACAGTGAACTCAGTGAATTCATCAGCGAAAACAGACAGCGCAGATGATGTGCAGTCTGGAGTCACGTAGACATTGGTAACATAAACGTGTTTGTATTCATTCAGATGTTTTGGACGACATCTTAGAGTTAGACAGTCGATAGAGTCATTTTGAAACTTGAAGCACGCAAACGAAGATCGACACCAGTTCACGTTTACAAACGTAGCTACACCGCCACCACACCTCTTTTTATTGTTTGATCGATGCTGACGATAAATTTTGAAATCACGTAGTGAAACTAGGCAGTCGTCCTGTAGATCATTTAACTAGGATTCTTGAATTATGGTGACACCACAATTACGATACTTATTTTGATTTAGTAGGAATTGAAGATAGTTCACTTTGTTGATTAGTGATCG